CTAGTAGCTACTGGCATCGCTACACTAGTAGCTACTGGCATCGCTACTAGGCATCGCTACGAACGGAGCGATCGACGCTACGAACGTAGCAAGAATCCTACTAGGAGCAAGGGCATCGCTACTAGGAGCAAGGACGACACGAACGTAGCTAACTCATGTGGGCTCCTTTTTGACTGGTAGATAAGCTTTGACAGCGACAACCTGAGAAGCATCTCCTTGAAGACTCGCATGATCGAGACAGGTGAGAGAATGATGTTGGAAAACACATACGAGAAAAGACGAGGTCTAAAGTTCTAAAAAGCATGGACCAACAAGAAAGGTCTAAGAAGACAAAGGACATGACAGGTCTAAAGAAAGAAAGAACACATTATTTTTTCTATGTTTCTTACAGCGTTCTTCAAACAAGTCTCCGTGAAATCCCCGAGCACTTCTGGGGCAATGAACTTAGGTCATTAGCTACCTCCCCAATGTCCTACCTACCTCCTGTCCTACCCCCCGCTCCAGATGAAATAGAAGAAGGAAGAGATATATCCTAGATCTTGAGGGACATGGCCCAATGGCAAGGGAAAGACTGCTGACTGCTGTTGCGTTTGTTTAGTCTTTTCTTGTCGCGTTTTTTTGTCTGGATTTTTCTGGGCGCTAATGCCGATTAAAGACGCATTTCACGAAGGCCAGCCGATAGGCCCGATAGGCTAACGGCTTCAGGGACAATCATGCGAACGATTCGTGAGAGTTATGGGGTTTTGCCGGGGGGAGAGGCCCAAATATGGCAATGGGCGGGCCACATCACATTGGGAGAAAGGGAACATATCCTCTCCTTTGTCCTCTTCTTGCGGGGTTCCCTCGGAAAAAAGAACCTGGCCACAGTGTCAGGCCGCGCCGGCGAGCCCCAGGATGTCCTCGTGTCACAATCTTTTCGGTCCTGTCATATTCTTCTCCAATGCCTTCTTGTTGTCCTTCTTCAGGTGTTCATTGGCCACAGCTGCCAGCCTATCTCCGGTCGTAGTCCTCCCGTCGTTGTCTTGTCTTTCTCTTGTCGTCTCTTCCTCTTCTCCTCTTGTTCTCCTCTTGGTGTTGTCCTTTTGTCCTTTTGGGCTTGTCTTTCTTTTGTCCTCTTGGTTTGTTGGTGTTGGTTTCTTTTCCTCATCCTTTTGTCCGCTGTTGTCCTCCTGGTCTTTCTGTTGCCCTGCTGTTTACCTTGCTGAGAGATAGAAGACAATAAGAGATGATGGATGTCGTGAATGAATCGCTTGTTGGAGCAATAGGTGGGTAGGTGGGTTGGCAGGTGGGTTGGTAGGTGGGTAGGTGGGTGGGTGGATGGATGGATGGAAGAGGAGACTTCTGGACATTTAGAGTGCGCTTGTAGGTAGGTCGTTGGATGGCTAGTTGAAGCGGATGGATGGTTGGATGGACGGACGGACGGACGGATGGATGGATGGATGGCGAGACAGAGAGATAAGCTGAAGAGATAGAGAGATCGAGACATAGAAAGATAGAGAGAGATTGTCAAGTAGATGTAGCTAGATGTCCATTGCGATGTAGCAGATGATAAGTAGATGTGGAAAGGTGGATGTGTGTAGAGTGTAGATAGGTCGATGAATGGCTAGTTGGACGAATGGGTGGGTGGATAGGTGGCTGAATAAAAGCGGAGATAAAGCCTCGGGCCGCCTTTTTTTTTTTGAGGGCCTGATATAAGAAAAGCTTGAAGGTCTCAAACAAACAGCAACCTCCTTGAGTTACTGTACTACTAGCGATGGCCTCCAACCTAATAGCAATGGCCTTTGCCTGATAACAACGGCTTGAAGGTCTCAAAAAGCAAAAACCACATCCAAAGATCGTTTGTTCAAGAGCGCGAGGCGATGATTGTCACGGATGATGCCTGCAACTGAGCACACAAGAGGTTTGTGTTCCATTGCCGATCCTTACAAAGAACCATAAAACACTTTTGTATCATTGTGCTAGTTCATATTTCAGGCATTTTTGAGGACTGGACTGGATTGGATCCATATGGATTGAACACTGAACGAATGAGAAGAAAGAGAAAAGAACACATGCAAATCATTTGGCGCCACACTTCTAGGCCATTTGAAGAACTTGGTTCGCTTGGATTAAAAACTCTTTCACCTTCACTTCTCTTGTGGCCTTGGCTTGGGCTTGGCTCGATTTCATTCGCAGCATGGGTTTCATTCGATTTCGCCTAACACGGCGCTCTTCGCTCCTTGGCGATGCCGTGTTAGATGCTGTGGCTTCATCCAATCCACGTGAGTGTACGGAGTCCGACCACGTCCTGCGACTTCGTCGCTCAGAAGCTCTCCAGTGATGAGCGGAGTCGAGGGGATAAGATGGCCAGCGTCTTGGCCCAACTGGTGCGATCAGCGACTTCGAAGGACGGGCGAAAGTGGTCGACGACGTGTTGTCGAGGTGTTTTCAACAAAAACGATGAGAAAACAGATGCGCTGACAGTTGAGAAACCATGAGAAAACCCGCGCAACGGTTCTTTTTTTGACCTTTTTGGTCAGACCTCACAGGAGCTTCCTGGCCTTATAACTGTGGAGCTTGCTGAGGGCCATTTGGTGGCTGAGAACCTCTCCATTCCGTTGCTTTGTGCAGATGTTGTGTGCGCAGCGGCAGATAGCTTTGCAGCTCTTGCTAGCAGTCCGTTTGATCGTTTAGAGACGGAGGAGATGACGCCGTTTAGACAGCATTCAGATGCCAACATACCAAGAGAATGTCTGACAAAGCAATTACAAAAGCAGGGACGTACATGCCAAGCTTTTAAGAACTTTCGATTTCAGCATTTCAGCGATTTCAGCGCTTTCGGCCAGTCAGTCTCAACCAAACGATGAAGTCACAACCGCTTCGAAGCGACGTCGCCTTTCGACTCGCCAGGACGGTCCAACGATTGGCAGCCTTTTCGCCATCGCTCCACGGTGGAAGCGGATGCAGATGGGCTTTTTGGACGCCTTTGAGGATCCACGCTCCGACGAGCTGTGGATCATTGGGGCTTCTTGGAAAGAGGACGATAGAAACAACAACGTGTCTGGTCGGAAAAAAGCAGCGAAAGAAGAACACCTAAGAGAAAGAACAAAACGCGACAAGAGCAGAAAAGAACACAAAAGAAAGAATAGGATTAAATGACAAGACAAAGAACACAATTCGAAGAAGAGAAACACACGAAATAATGAAAGAAACAAAACAGGAAGATAAACTCTAATGGTCTAAAGGTTACAAAACAAAGACAAGGATAGGACATGACAAAAGAAACACAAATAAAGCATGAACACTAAGGGTCTAAAGAAGGAAAAGTATCACGATAAGAACATAGAAGACAAGAAAAGGAACACACGGAAAGAAAGCGGATCTTGTAAGAAAGAAAGCACGCCATGGACGTCAAGATAGAACGGACACGACATGGACGTTTTTTCAGGTCCAAAGGTCTGAACGGGTCTTTCAGACCTTTGGACCTGTCTGAAGGAAAGAAGAGGGAACATGAAATAGAAGCGGCAAGAAATGAACATCCAAACAGATAAAGCAAGGCGCTGTCTGACGGTTTAAGAAAGGAACCTAAGAAAAAGAAGCCCATAGGCTTGTTGTAGCTAGCAGGAAGGGCGAGACCTGCAGCCTTTTTGTTCTTGTTTCTGCATTCTGCTCAAGCCAGAATACTTGTTGGTGCCAGTTATCCTTTTTAGAGTCCAGACTTCACCAGACACGTGTTGGTTCATGTTGTCAGAACTAGACAGTCGGTGTTCAACTTCCCTCCAGTTTCAAAGCTCAAACCCTTGCAGAAAGCTCCTTCTTGTGGGCAGAGGTCTACATGACATAGAAAAGGTGTTCCAAATTCCAGACCTAAACCGGGCAGTTGAGAAACATGGAGAAACAACTGCCAATGCTGACTCGACTGAAACGACGATTTTTCCCCTTGAAAGGATGGATTGTGATAGGCAAACAACCACCAATTGTGTTACACAATGATGGTGCCATTGGCAATGCCGCGATTGACCGCTATTGGCAATGCCGCCCTGAGGCTTCCTTTGTTCCAGGGACAGATCACATGGCTGAATTTCAGCGAGCGCTGTGCAAGTGTGGAACCCTCAGGCCATGTGATCTGCGTTCCCGTATCGCCCATCTGCCGGTGCCACCTGAAAACCGGAGGACGCCGCGGTTCACTTGTTTTTCTAGCCCATAGAACTAGGTGGTGTTTGAGTAGTAATAGTAGTAGTAGTAGTAGCAGCAAGAAGCTAGTAGGTTGGAGGCCATCCCCAGTAGGGGGAGGCCATTGCTTTTAGGTTGGAGGCCATCGCAATTAGGTTAGAGGCCAGTAGCTACTAGAACTATGTGGCTTTCCACCACGTCACAGAACAGTGGAAGATCGTGATGCAAAACGTGTTCGGAGGTGGGACATCCAAGAGGAGTTCATTTTCCATCGGCGAATCCTTGGCCGAGGATCCTCAAGCAAGATTCGACTAGGTGCGGCAAAAGGATGTAACAATCAGAGCCAATCTTGGATGAATCCAATGCTTAGATCGAGGGATAGTTACGATAGATTAACGATGTTTTGAATCTGTTTGTGACAGAGACCCTTAGCATTCTGAACCGCCCTCAGAAAAGCTCCAGAAGACGTCCGTCAGATAGTGGTTTTGTGCATCTTTGTATCGTGTAGGTGGTTTGGTTTTGTGTGATTTACAGTACATCTGGGTCTTTTTGGTTGCTGTTCTTGTTTTTGCTAGGCGTCCGGAAGAGGAACTTCTGGTCTATCTCCGATCAAGACCACGATGTCCTTTCTGAGGCGTCCAAAAGCACAGCAGCAAAAAGAGCGTCTCTTTTGAGGTCTTGGGTTGAAATATTCTGTTGGGAAACAAATTAAGACATATTAAGACCATGAACCACAAAGGTCTACAGGGGT